AATGGCTGGTATACATATTTTAATAAGTAATTTGAAGTGTATACTTTTAAACTTACAATGGTCTGTCACTGAGGCCCATGAAAAAGCATCAGTGACAACTACAAGAGCAAATTAAGTTGTGCTAAAAAGTAAATATGATTTTTGAATAATACCTTCATTACAGCCAAATTAGTGCTATTTCTATCAGAAACAGTGCTAATTATGCGTCTCTTTCTAAACAACTCTAGAATTCCTTTTTATTAATACATTCATCTTCATCTCCGAGGTGCTGAAACACCAACATGTTGATCCTCCACAAAACAAGATCTGTTCCCAAGTGAAAATGAGCCATTCCATTGCATAACATTTTTGTTTTGTGCTTCAAGAATCAGTCCTTGTTCAGGCTAACTTCAACCACTTTCCACAAATGTTTTGACAACAAAGACTTCTTAACAGGTAACAATCAAACCTGAAAACCAACCACCTTTTCAGCCTGACATGAGTTTACAGGAAGTATACAGTGAAGGTCATTTATCAGGTAAATTAGCGACAAATGCAGACGCAAATCAGGCCTACGGTCAGTTAGCAGATCCTATGTGACACATTTTATGTGTATTTGTGGCCCCTGCGTCTGTAAACCTGGACAGCCAACTGAGACAGAATTCCACAGGTCTGCCATAGATTTACCAATGTGAATAAAACAGATTTACCACTGCGATACACAATTAAGGGCCCATTCACACCAGAGTGCGTTACCGTGCCTTTAACACACACTATAGACAGCGCACCTAGTGTGTAGTACCATGCACTCAGTGTGTTGCATTGCCATTCATTTGAAAGGTATCCCAATGTACTTCCTGCGCTGCAACGCACAATACCATGCGTTGTGCTGCCGTGTGGTGGAAAAAAAGAAGAGCATGAAAAGCACGGTATTGCAGCAGCGTGTGTTGAGCTAAGCTGCAACGCTTGGCTGCCAGGAGGTGCATTAGGGTGCCAATCAAATGAATGGCAATGCAATGCACATAGCAAATGGTACTGCAGGCTAGATGTGCAGTGCAATAGCATGCTCTAAAGGCACGGTAACATGCATAAAGTGCAACTCTCTGGTGTGAGTGGTCAGGGGCAGGTTTTATTCTGTCACAGTGCTACTTGAGGGCAGCTGAGGGAAACATTTAGGAATGAAGCTGCCTAATTGTTATAACTCTGTCTAAGATTGATCTCAAACCGTCTCACAGCTCCTGTTTAGCATTGCCTGTGCATGTGACAATGGCAAATTGTCCTTCAGTGTATATTCCGTGAGCACACTGCAGTGTTTACCGTAAAGAATAAAAGTGCTTTTATTAAAAGTTAAAAGCATTTATTTTTTCTGTCCCCCTTCCCTGACATTACAGAGACTGCCCTCCTCCTCCACAAATTTATACTTACTGAGATCTGGTGCCCTATTAGAGTCCCCTATGTCCCTATTAGAGTGCCCCCATACATTAGATGTCCCTATAAGAGTGCCCCCTTACATAGTTACATAGTATTTGAGGTTGAATAAAGACATTAGTCCATCAAGTCCAACCTATTAGGATCTCATTCTAGGAGTACCTGTACCCCTGTATATTACGGTCCCTTAAGAAATCGTCCAAAAGTTTCTTGAACAATTCCACATTCTTTGCTGAAATCACTGTCTGTGGCAGTGAGTTCCAGACCCTAACTGATCTTACATTAGCTGTCCCCATCAGAGTGCCAGCTTACATTAGATGTCCCTATCAGCATGTCACTTTACATTAGATGTTCCTATCAGAGTGCCCCCTTACATTAGATGTCCCTATCAGTGTGTCACCTTACATTAGATGTTCCTATCAGTGTGTCACCTTACATTAGATGTTTCTATCAGAATGCCCCCTTACATCAGATGTCCCTATGAGTCCTCTGGGGATTGTTTACATCCCTCGCTGATCTCCCGTCACCGCCTATAGTGCCTGCACAATAGAGCCCTATGGATTACTATGGGGCTTGTCTACCTCTCCCAGGCTGGTGAGAGGAGTTTGGCATGGGATATAAACGTTTCCCAGAGGCCACAAGTGCCGAATCTCAGTTAAGTATAATCTACAGAGAGCTCTGAGATGTTAGCAAAGGGGGGGAAGAAAGAATAAATGCACTTTCTATGAAAGCCAAAATGTTTTAATTTAGTTTTGAATATAGTAGAGAAGGGTTAAAACTAAGGGATGCACTGATACTGATTTTTCGCCATCGAGTAGCGATATTTATTTCCCGGTACTCACCGATGCCGAATACCGATACCAGCGTCCCGAGGTAGCGTCTGCCCAGCTAATCAGGAAGCTTCCTGATTGCCTGGGAAGCCGGTGTTCTATCGAAAGCACACCGGCTTCACGCTGCCTCGCGACACTGCAAGGCAGCCTGGCTTCCTGATTGGCCGGGCGGCACACCATGACCCTCCTCCTGGCTTCCTGATTGGTCCCAATTGATCAGTTAAATGCGTTAAATCATCCAGTATTCTCATAACTGGATGATTTAACGCATTTAATTATAGTATACTATACTATACAAGTTCCTTTTTATTGCACAACCATTAATTATATATTTCCGCACATGTACAAGCATACCAAGGCCACCAAAAATGCCAGGGTGTAAGAACAGACTTTTTAAACCTTGTAAATAAAATTTGAGAATTGTAAGCACCCTTAGTAATGTTATAATTCAGTGCTGGACAACATCCCAGGAGCCAGGTAGCCAATGATCCCTAAAATTTACAGCCGGTGTTTAATTTTGCCTTTTTTTCCTATTTGTTGCCAGTGGAATTGGCTCCTAAAGAAAACCTGTTGGCTACTATACCGGGCAAACTGGATCCTGAATTCTAGATCAATTTGCCCACCCCTGTAAAATAATTGTCCCTAACCCTGTTACCCATTTGTGTTGGTCAACTTGTACTGGATTTAAAACCCTCTTTATAGTTAAAGAGGGGAGCAGATATTCAAATGCCTTTGCCTAGGACAAGTCCTCTTCAAGGCTAGACTCACTCACTATGCTGTACATTATTTCCCAACAGCTACACAATGTTGCTGATTTACAAAAAGGGAACCAAACGCAGGGCAGTCATAGTAAGTAACCAGTCAAGTAAACCTCAGCAATGAAGAAAGGAATCTAATGAGAAGATCTTGGTCATATTTCAGCTATCCCTATTCGTTTCTTTGTTGTAGACTTTTTAATTTACCCAGACTGCAAACAAAACATTATCTTATGAGTCTGAATACCAAGGGCACCAAACATATACCAGGATGAGCCTCAGCGCTGCTCGCTGTGGCATTTAGAACAGCTGACTGGTAGGAGTGCAAGCAGCGTAGTGTAGTTGGAAGATACTTTCCTCCTCACAGGCATTGGTGGAAAATTCCTTCCAAGTTAACCTGTCATTACGTAAATATGTTTCTAAATTAACACTGCTGATGTGCAGACAACTTGTGGTGCCTGTTAGTACCTGTTTTAGCCTCCAATGAATTCTTGTGCCCCTGAGAAGCCCCTCAAATTCCAGCTCCAGACTGTACACAAGACCTTGACTTCTGTCCAAGTCAACACTAAGCTCTGCCCCCCCAACCTCACCTCATTCAACTGTCATCAGCCAGAGGGTCTAATCCAGGGATAGGCAAGTCCTGCCCTCCAGCTGTGCTTTAACTACATATCCCAACATGCCTCTGCCTTTGGGAGTCATGCCTGTAACAGTCTTTCAATGCCTCATGAGACTTGTAGTTCCACAACAGCTGGAGGGCCGGAGTTGTCGACCCCGGGTCTAATCACTGTATTTCCCCGGATCAATCAGCTAGATCAGGGGTAGCCAAACTCTGGCCCTCCAGCTGTGGTGGAACTACAAATCCCATGAGGCATTGCAAGATTCTCCCAGCCACAGACATGACTCCCGGAGAGAGATGCATCATGGGATTTGTAGTTTCACCACAGCTAGAGGGCCAGAGTTTGGCTACCCCTGAGCTAGATGTTCCATTTCTACGATTTTGGATCTCATTGGTCAATATGAGGCAAACTTGTTTTCTATTATTATTTACATTTACGTTTATTTTAATTATTTTCAAAACCATTTGAAAGTAGAGGTCTTCCTTTAAAGAAGGTCTCGGGGCAAACAAAAGTCTTACCCTTGCAGAGGGTCTACCCCGGCACTGCAGAGGTTAAGTGCTCATTTTGTCTAGGGGGCTAAAAAAAAAACCTGTTTTACTTACCTGATCCTCGGTCCCGCCGTCTCCTTCCTAGCTGTTAGACCGATCCTCACAGCCTCATCTCCCGTTTGCTCTCGCAGTCTAAGGACCACTGACATAATCACATCTAAGCAGTTCCAATGAGCTGCATTAGACGTGAGGACAGCAAGGGACATTCCAACATCAGGAGCGGAGGGGGGTAGAGGTGAGCGCTGACCACCGTGGGGACCAGGTAAGTAAAACAGCTTTATTTCAGTATCCTAAACAAAATGAGCACTTAACCCTTGCGGTATGGTGGTAGCCCCACTGTAAGAGCATGTTTTTCCTTTGCCCGGAGTTCTTCTTTAAATCTGAAGCTAGTGTTAATTTATTGCTATACTCACTATGGCAACAATCAGAAGAATTTTCCAACTTTTCTTTCAACTTTGATATTCCAAGGTTATCTGTTGCCATTGTAAACAACCCATTTGTAAAAAGGCGGAGCAAAAAATAAAGCAGAGTAGCTCAGCGCACTGCCTATGGAAGCTGCATTAGCTGTGATGACGTCAGTGTTCCTTCGACCGCCAGAAACCGTTCAAGCAGCCCATAGGGAGAGGGGATCAGGTATGGGTTTTAAATCTGATGTCCCTGATGCAGGCTTGAACTGCGATAAATCTTTCCTACAATCAACAAGGTACAAGTTGTCTAATTCTGTTTTTCTACCCAGCATTAGTAAAATAAAAGGCTCAAGCTTGATACATGACGTAACATTGCACAACCATACTGTAATAACACTATGCAGAATGACATAAGCAGATGTAATACTCAACTCACCAAAATCCAGGAACTGCTTGATGGAGAGAGGAGAGGGGGAGAACTTGGAGTAGTACTCGATCTGATTGGGGATGGTGTTTTTCAGCAGGTACCTGCACAACCTCATGATGTTCCACTACAGGTAGGTGACCAGTGACATGGGATATCTAAAAGAACACCATCTACATACTCAGATCATAGACTAGGATATGTCCATGCACCTACATATGTGCAGATCAATAAGCATATACATGGAGATGAAGAATGAAGAGGATGCTGCAGGTGCTGGCCAGTCTGACACAGAGGATGCTGGCACTGCACAGATCACCGGTGTCCAGTGCTGAAAGTAAACAATGCTGATTGCAGATAAAAGGAAGGAAACAGCCAATGCTCCGAACAGACCTCCTACTCAGCGCTGGCAGAAGAGGCCTGGACACGCCCCCCTCTCCCTGACCTGCGCGTTCCCGCGCACAGCACGTCCACACTCTACATTCCTACACCACAGACCAGGCGCGTTCGCGAGCAAGAGCCTGTGGGCGTGACAGGCAGGGCGCCCTAGAAACAACGAGCCCGCCCCTTCAGTAATGTGGTTGGTGCATCTCCTGAACAGGAAGGTTGTGCAGGTAAACCAAGTAGGTAAATAATGAATTAGGTGAGCGGCTGGGCGGTGACGTCAGAATAAGGACAGGTCTGTCTGAATGTATCAGAGGTTATTCCAGCAGAGTTTGTGGGTGGCTACAGCAAGGGGTTTTGTGGTACATAGTGCAGCACGATTGTTACTGCTACTGCCAGCCTCAGCTTGGAAGAGTGGCATTCGCATAACACCTGGGGTCATTTTGGTATGTTAGATGTATGTATACTAGACCTGGGATATTACATTAACATTCAAGGAGGTCCAGTAAGTAAAATTATTTTCCAGCTGAGGTCCAAATGTCATGTTTGACAGTATATACTCTATATCAGAGTGCCCCCTTACATTAGATGTCCCTATCAGCGTGTCACCTTACATTAGATGTCCCTATCAGCGTGTCACCTTACATTAGATGTCCCTATCAGCGTGTCACCTTACATTAGATGTCCCCATCAGAGTGCCCCCTTACATTAGATGTCCCTATCAGAGTGCCCCCATACATTAGATGTCCCTATCAGAGTGCCCCCTTACATAAGGTGTCCCCATCAGAGTGCCACCTTACATTAGATGTCCCTATCAGCGTGTCACCTTACATTAGATGCCACCATTAGAGTGTCACCTTACATTAGATGCCCCTACCAGCATGTCACCTTACATTAGATGTCCCTATAGGAGTGCTCCCTTACATTAGATGTCCCCATCAGAGTGCCGCATTATATTAGGTGTCCCCATCGGAGTGCTCCCTTACATTAGATGTCCCTATCAGAGTGCCCCCTTACATTAGATGTCCCTATCAGAGTGACCCCTTACATCAGATGACCCCATCAGAGTGACCCTTACATTAGATGTCCGTATCAGAGTGCCCCCTTATATCAGATGTCCGTATCAGAGTGCCCCCTTATATCAGATGTCCCTATCAGAGTGCCCCTTTACATCAGATTGCCCCCATACATCGGGTGTCCCTATCAGAGTGCCCCCGTACATCAGGTGCCCCTATCAGAGTGCCCCCTTACATTAGATATCCCCATTAGAGTGCCACCTTACATTAGATGTCCCTATCAGCGTGTCACCTTACATTAGATGTCCCCATTAGAGTGCCACCTTACATTAGATGTCCCTATCAGCGTGTCACCTTACATTAGATGTCCCTATCAGCGTGTCACCTTACATTAGATGTCCTTATCGGAGTGCTCCCTTACATTAGGTGTCCCCATGAGAGTGCTCCCTTACATTAGATGTCCCCATCAGAGTGCCCCCTTACATTAGGTGTCCCCATCAGAGTGTCCCCGGACACTTCTTCAGCTTGCAGAAGGCAGGAGATGGAGCAGGCTGCAGATCAGAAAGGAAAACATAACTTTTCTATCCCCTTGTAATGCTGGGGGCATTACAAAGTCTCTGAGGCCAGCACTTCATCTGTTAGACATAACCCAGTGCCAGTGCGCAATCTTGGTCCGGAGAGAGCCATCACTCGGCCCGTGTTTGGACCATGGTCTGCCATTTAGTGATCTTTGTACTAGACTAAGGCTTCATTCATACTATGTGTGAATCTGCAGTCATGGAAGGAGAGCTTCATTCACACTAGCTATGAAAGTGCAATTTGGGATTCCTGCAGCAAGAACCTACAGATTACTGGTGGCAGGAATCCCAAATCTCCCATTTAGATACAGCTGCTGTCACCTGTTCAGGTTAAAGGAGAACTATGGGGTTAAGTCTTTTCCCCATAGTTCTCCTTAGGGTAACGGGAGGACACAAACTAGCGTCCTCCCGTCACCCTAGGCTCAGTATAGCTGCTTGCGGTATACTGAGATGCCGCAGCCGGAGCGGATCACGACCTGGACGTCGGGATCTGCCCAGCTGCGTGAGTGATAGCTGGCTCTGCCTATCTAGAGGCAGAGCCAGCTGTACCCGCCCCCTCCCCCGTACGATCTGCCAGTCAGCGCTGGCAGATCGGAGCGGGGAGAGAGGAATCCAGCCCCTCCCCCTGTCACAGCAGAGAGCCGTGACAGGATCTGGAGGTGAGCGAACCCGGTATGTGTTCGCTCACCTCCCAATCTACTGAGCCGACCTGTGACAGTCTTATTGTCACAGGTCAGCTAGAACTATGAGGTGAGTGAAAAGCACTCAACTCATAGTTCTCCTTTAATAAACGGATGACAGTGGCCGCATCTATAAGCAGCACTCCACATATAATCATATGCAATATGATTACATGAGGGTTGGAATAGATCACTATCCCTGGATGCATGATAGGGATAGTGATCTATTCCAAACCTCATCTAATACGATTACATGCAAAGTGCTGCTTATAGATGCGGTCGCTGTCACCCGGTAATTAACTTGAACAGGTGACAGCGGCTGCATCTAAACTTGAAATTCGGGATTCCTTCCGCAGGAATCCCAAATCGCACATTCATAGATAGTGTGAATGAGGCTTTCCTTCCGTGACTGCAGATTCTAGAGGGCTGTGCTTTCCATTATAGAAGCCCAGTAACATGCATAGGTAACCCTACTTCTGACCCTCTCCTTGCAGCAATTACACTGGACACTGACAGTGCCTAGGCAAACAGAGGCCCCCGAGCCTCTGCTAAGGGGGAGTTTAATGCTGAAGTTTAATCTGCTTATATTTTGCTTTTCCTGCTCCCCTCTAACCATTAACATGCTAATAAAATTTGTAAGGTTTGTTACCCCCAAAAAATCATCTCACGTATATGTGTCTGTGTTTTCATGTGATGTCTTGTAGAACTATCCTGTTTGTTTTCTAGTTCTTTATTTGCTTTGAAATACCTGGTGATCCTGCTCCCTGTAGTATTTGGACCACGCCAAACACAAAAGCTGATCTGTGCTGGCATGGTCAGTGTGCATCCCTCAGTTTATTCATCGGGACGACAAGACACTGTGGCCATACACTGCTTTCCTAAATGCCGCATTCTGCTTTTGGCCACTCCCCCATGCCCAGCCCTGCTCTCCTAACACATTGAAAACGGGGAACACATTTCCTTGATAGTGTCATAATTGACATAACTGGAAGTCAATGAATGAAAAGGGCAGGCTGTGGAGCAGAGGCGTAACTAGAACCCTCAGGGCCCCGGTGCAAGAAAACGATAAAGGGCCCCCCCCCAACC